TTTTTTTTACATACATACATATTGCTTATTAACATATAAACATCAGTATATACAGATAATATTGCATACGGAAAATATCTGGTTTACCGAATCCGTTTTCGCGCTAATTTTCTTCAAAGATACCACCTTCGAATTTATACCTTACACTGGGTACAATATGTTAAATTTTAAATAATTTTCATAAAAAGGTGATCGTTATATTTCCTAAATAAGTAAACAATCCGCGTAAAGTAAAACTCACAGAATACGTTTATTGAAATGAATACCACAAAAAAAAACAGTTCCACGAAATAAACATAAGTTTGTTAACACAACCATACCAAAAGCTTAAGTATAGAAAAAATAATAAATTTAAACAATACACATTGAAACATACGTTTATGTATATCTAAACATACAAATCCTTTTAAATTCCACATTGGCATCTATTCGACAATACCTCTTGTTCTTGGCAAACAAGAACAAGCAGGATTGCTTACAAAAAGCAAATTGATCTCTCATACGAGCTCTCAATTGGACAAAACATAAGCAACTTCATATGCACATGCATACATACATATAAGTCCAAGTATTAGAATGAAACTAAAAAGAAAAACTCATTCGGACATCAAATATTTTAATAAATAAAAAACGCGATTTTTAGTAGTAATTAATTCAAGTTTATTTTCAAACTAAAATATAAATAAATAATAGGCTGAGTTCCAAGTTGCATGTTGCTTTGCAATATTATTTTGCAAAATTGGTTCATAACAACAAATATTAAAGTACACCTGGAGCTACACGCTCAAAACAGATTGCTAGATTTATTTCAGAAAGTGACAGTTTAACAAGATACTGCACTAGATTTGCCTCTTCACCGATTCACGAAAACTCGGAATCGTTACTAGAAATCAAAATTATAAATCTCAACAATTTTTGGATACAACTCCAAGCGACTCATGTCGCCATAGCAGAATCTGACGATCCAGATCTACCTCAAAATTTTAGATCATCGGCTTACGATATTTACGAAAACTGCTTAGACCAATATGAAGAAACAAAAGCGATTATCTCCGATCAATTAAAGCCAATGAAAGCAATTGCACCTACTCCCCACAGTGGAGTAGAGCTGCCAGAAATAGACAATCAAAAGGCAAGTTCAGGCATCCACCTCGAGGTGCCCGCATGTGACACAGAAACATTTTATGGAGGTTATGAAGAATGGCCGTCCTTCCGGGACATGTTTACAGCCGTTTACATCAACCATCCAAAATTATCATAATCGCAAAAATTTTATCA